GTTTCTACTCCAGACTCAGTCCACTGCTTCCGCAGGTCCCCCAAGGTCTGGAATCGGCCCTTCTCCACAATCCTCCTCAGGGTCCGGTCAACTCCTCTTGTTGTGCAGCGTTTTCTGCCACACTTTTCCCTTCCCACAGACTTCCCACTGAGGTGCCTTGATACAGCACTCTGGGAACAGCCTATTCGTTCAGCAATTTCTTTCTGTGTCTTACCCTCTTGCTTGAGGGTGTCAATGATGGCCTTCTGGACAGCAGTCAGGTCGGCAGTCTTACCCATGATTGTGGTTTTGAGTAATGAACAAGGCTGGGAGTTTTTAAAAGCCTCAGGAATCTTTTGCAGGTGTTTAGAGTTACGTTGTTGATTCAGATGGTTAGGTTAATAGCTTGTTTAGAGAACCTTTTCATGATATGCTAATTTTTTGGGACAGGCATTTTGGGTTTTCATGAGCTGTATGCCATAATCATCAGTATTAAAACAATTAAAGACCTGAAATATTTCAGTTGGTGTGCAATGAATCTGAAATATATGAAAGTTTCATTTTTATCATTACATTATGGAAAATAATGACCTTTATCACAATATGCTAATTTTTTGAGAAGGACCTGTATATAAAGATATTTATTTTTGCAGTTAAAAAGCTTACACATCACATTCATTTAACATTTTCTGAAAACAACTGAGGTACAACTGAACAACTCAAAGTATAAACCTGTAAACTGCTGATTATTATATATTTTTTTACAGCTGCAACATTTAGTTTGTTATTAAAAGAATTACATGATAAGCAACACCCAAACAAAAGAGTAATTTGCAAATAAAAGTTTTTATTGTTGTCCGTATATTTTACTGTATGTTAATATGTAGACTGGGAGGATACCCCGGGGAAAACCCAGGACAAACTGGAGACTACGTCTCTCAGTTGGTCTGAGAACACCTTGGAGTCCTCCCAGAAGAGCTGGAAGAGGAGGCTGTGGGAAGAGATGTCTGGACCTCCCTGCTCAAGCTGCTGCTCCCATGACCCAACGTCAGAACAAGAGGAAGATAATGGATGGCTGGATGGCTGGATGGCTAGATGGATAGATGACTGGATGGTGTTAATATGTCTGAAGGGGATTTTATGTTTTAAAGTTTTATGTATTTAATAAAACTAATAAAAACAACAAGGACTGGTATTTTCAATGTAGCTTCATACAGTGTTCTTCACGAGTTGTATATGTAGTACACAGAATATTTATGTGCTTAGTGCGTTTTAAAGAGATCAAGGTACTTTGTATTTGTGGCAGAGCTGAATCTTCATACAACAAATTCATCTATCAATGTTGGAAGCCTTTGTGAAAAGTAAAAATTCTGGAGGAGTTTCGTGTGTATCTGTAAAGTCTTAGTCAAATGAAATGTGCAACTCCAGGTGTTCTGGTGTCCAGATAACCAGCGTGCAGCTCTGCAGGACCAGGCACATTGTCATTTGAACCTGGAAGAATAAATGTAAAATATGTTTTAATGAAAGTTTACAAATACCTCTAACATTAGTTCATAGATTGTAAGTTACAATATTTACTCACCTGGAGGTAAAATCCACTTTGCCCATTGGGAAGAATGAGATACTTCCCATCTTCTATGCATCTGATGCCACAATCTGGCCGACACAAACTCTGAATATGACATGGCGCTCTTTAGGGGCCACTTGAGCTCTAAGAGCCGCGCCAAATCCAAAATTCCGTCTGGGCTTGCTCCAAACCA